GAAGTCAGAGCAGACATAAGTATATCTAATCGGGAAGTGATAGCATCCATATCACTTTGCCAAGGAGGAGCAGTAGCAGGAGTGGCGGTAGTGGGCGGTGGTACCTCAGCAATAGCAACAGTACGGCTGCGAGAAGGTGGCTTAAGCTCTGGATGGAGCTTCCAGCAAGTAGCCCTGAGATGTCCTGGTCGGCCACAATAATCACATTGACGGGAATCCCCCCGTCTGCGCTGATCTGGGGCGCCCTGACGGCGCTGGTCTGAGCGTTGCCTATCCCTGACTAAGGATCCTGAACGGGACCCTACAGCAGCTGCAAGGGCCATCTGGTCAATCGAAGGAGGCAAAGCTGCAACTGGAAGTGATGCAATACGGACTCGACGCTCATGCTGCTCAATCATCCCATACACCTCATAAAGAGAAGGAAGTGTCAACATCGACAAGATCTGAGAACGAGGTCCCTCAAACTCATCACGAAGCCCCATAAGGAACTTGTGAATCCTATCCTCCTGCTCTCGAGTATGCAAGAATGCTGCTCCCTCGGACTCTATCTTCGGAATAGCAGCAAGAGGACGTAGAGACTCATACTCAAGCCAGCGCTGGGTCAAATAGCCATAATAATCCTGAACGGTCATATCTCCCTGCCCGAGCATATGAGAGCTCCTGAGAAAGCTCATAAACACGAACTCCCCGTCCTGACTGAGAATACATCTCTGATAATGCGCTCCATAGCTTCGGAACAGAGCTATGAAACTGGTGGATCCTGCAAACAGAGGGCTCCATTGAGCCAAATAACCATCCAAGAATGACACAGTTTTCAGAGAACCATGCAGAATATCCAGGGTCGGCATCAACTGGCTTTGGGTGAGATCCCGTCAGCCAACCAAGCTTCCCTACACGGCCTAAGAAAAGCTGGAATGAGCGTGACCACTCAGCGAAGTTACGACCATTCAACAATTGTGCCGTAACTTTTTGAGAGATCATGCCCGGTAATGCTGGTAATGCAACTGTGCTAGTAGGTACTGTATACTGGTCAAACATAAAAGTGGAAGTACCCATAGATGTCTCAACGGTAGAGGTGTCAACAGTAGGGTTCTCAAGTCCCTCAGTAGTAGCCATATCAACAACAATACTAGGGCACCCGTGACAGAAAAATAACTCTAAGATAAATAGAGGAATAAAATAAGGGAGAACAATATATCTTCAGTCGAACAGTAGCGACAAATAGGGAAGGTCCAAAAAGCTCCCAAATAATCAAGTCACGGTGCCCAGAAATCCAAAATATATAAATAAGTGATCTACTGCATCAAGAGCAGATCAACGAAAAAAAGATTCAACTCCTCTTACAAGGTCCTATGGTCCCAAATAATCAGGAGCACGAAAGCAAAACACAAAGTTGTGACAAAGAGCGCGACCTAGCAGTGGGCTGGTTCACTAGAATGGGTATTATGTTGGGTTTGGGGCTGGACCAGGTTCGTCTTATTGGCAGACTTGGGTGATTTTGTCACTGGGTTGGCTCAATCGGTGTGGAGATGCTGCTTTGTTGTTGGTCACTAGTTTGTTGTTTTATGGGTGCTGTCGGTGCTGTTTTATGGGTGTAGTCGGTGGACTGATTTTGGGTTGGTCTGGGCTCAATTTATTAAGTATGCCAGTCAGTGTGTTGTATGCTGGTATGGTATGTTGTCTATGGAGTTTGTTATGGACTGGTATGTTGGCTGGGTAGTTGGTGAAAGTAAAAAAGGTGGCTGGACAGTCAGTGATTTCTGATTAGTGGGTTTGTCAGTGTGGGTTGTTGGCTGCTGTGTCGGTGGACTGGGTAGTAGGTTTGTAGGCTGGTATCGCTACTGGCAATTCAGGCTGTAGGTGGCTGCTGGGTTGGGCAGATGATGGCTGCGACGTGGAGGAGTGGAGGCTATCGTCTTGCTGGTTGCGTTGTTTGGTGGAGGCTAATGTTAGAATTAGGGTTAGGGTTAATGGCTCTGATACCAACTTGAGATAGTTGTGAATGAAAAGGGATACTCAAATTAAGAGTAGAACCCCGTATATATATCCAAAAATAATACAGAGTGACTTAAACATCCTTGTAGTTTAGGCAAAATATAAAAATCATAGTAAGGGTAAAAAAGGGAAAAGAAATCCTAATAAACCTAGACTATCTATACTCCAACAGAGGATGGTGAGGAGGGTGAAGGCATAAGGTGGACAACCAGATGAAGATGAAGATGAAAATTAAAAGTCTTTTTGCAAGTTACAGCTAGACTAAGTATTAAGTATTAAGTATGATGGAATAAGGAGTACTACCTTTTTAAGTATGCTAGACTAAGGAGTACTACTTTATGTCGTTTTGGGTTATGTAATCTGGGAACAATGTTTGAAATTTCTGGGTCCTTTTGGTCTATTTAAGACCCAGATCAATTACTATTATGGAGCCACCAGATTTTAGTATCAAGCTTATTAATATATAATGACATCTCTTCATTTTGTTGTTTTTTGAAAGCAATTTTTTAACTCTAAACAATGCATAAATCATTTCTTACAAAATAAAATTAGACCGTATCCCTATACCCGTATCCAAATCTGGATCCATATCCTCGTATCCACTATTTTTTGACTTGAGATGTCAGACACCTAAATTCACACCCGCACACGCGTTCGAGTAACATAACCCCTGATGATAATCCTCCTAGTATTCAAGTCCTGCAAATAACACGATCAGATAAGAACACAACCGCACTGTGAAAATCTCTAGCTAACTGATATACGGATAATAGATTCATGGCCAGCTTTGGTGTATGAAAAATCGAATGTAATGTAAAGCCATCTGGGAGGCAGACTGTACCCTACTAACAATAAGGGCACGTGTCCCATCTGCTAGTTGAACCCGTGTATGTAACTACTCATCAAAAGTGGTGAAGTGATGGGCCTCACCTGTAATATGACTATTCGCACCCGAGTCTAGCATCCAAAGGGGAGACTGATTGGCGCAAGCATGAAAGGCACGAGGTATACCTATAGTGGTGGCAGTAGCAGTAGTCGGACCCTGAGAAGTCAGGGCAGACATAAGTATATCCAATCAGGAAGTGATAACATCCATATCACTCTGCCAAGAAGGTGCAGTAGGAGCAGCAACAAGAACAACGACAGTAGGTGGTGGTACCTCAGCAATACCAACAATACGAACGTGAAGAGCTGGCTTAAGCTCCAGATGGAGCTTCCAGCAAGCAGCCCTGAGATGTCCTGGTCAACCACAATAATCACACTAACGAGAATCCCCTTGTCTGGGTTGACCTGGGGCGCCCTGATGGCGCTAGTCCGAGCGCTGTCTACCTTTGCCTGAGGATCCTAAACGAGACCCCGCAGTAGCTGTATGGGCTATCTGGTCGGTCAGAGGAGTCAAGGTTGCAACTGGAAGTGATACAATACGGACGCGGCACTCATGCTGCTCAGTCATCGCATAAACCTCATAAAGAGATGGAAGCCTCATCATCGATAAGATCTGTGAACGAGGTCCCTTAAACTCATCACGAAGCCCCATAAGGAACTTGTGAACCCTATCCTCTTGTTCTCGAGTATGCAGAAATGCTGCTCCTTCAGGCTCTATTCTTGGAATAGCAGCAAGAAGACGTAGAGTTTTATACTCAAGCCAGCGCTGAGTCAAATAGCCATAATATCTCCTCGTCAAGCAGATGAAAGCTCCTGAGAAAGCTAATAGACACGAACTCCTCGTCCAGACTGGGAATACATCTCTGATAATACGTTCCATAGCTTTGAAACAGAGCTATGAAACTGGTGAATCCTGCAAACAGAAGGCTCCATCGAGCCAAATAACCATCCACGAATAGCGCAGTTCTCAGAGAACCAGAATATCCAGGGTCGTCATCAGCCGGCTTTGGGTGAGATCCCGTCAACCAACTAAGCTTCCCTACATGGCCTAAGAAAATTGGAATGAGTATGACCACTCAACAAAGTTATGGCCTTTCAACAACTATGTCGTAACTTTTTGAGAGATCATACTCGATATTGCCGGTAATGCAACTGTACCAATAGGTACTGTATACTGGTCAAACATAACAGCAGGAGAACCAGACAGTACATCCTAGGTGGAAGTACCAATAATAGAGGTCTCAACAGTAGAGGTCTCAAATCTCTCAATAATAGTCATATCAACAACAATACGTGGGCACCAGTGACAGAAAATAATTTTAAGATAAATAGAGGAACAAAAGAAGTGAGAACACTATACCTCCAGTCGAACAGTGGTGACAGATTAAAAAAGTCCAAAAAGTTCCCAAACAATTAGGTAACGGTATCCAAAAATCCAATAAAGATAAATAAGTGATCTACTGTATCAAGAGCGATCAACGAAAAAGAGGATTCAACCAATCTTAAAAAGTCCTAGAAGCTGCAACCCTAAGAAAAAAGGCACTGGCGCAAAGAGATGGCAGCAGAACATGTCGCATAAAAGCGCACGAAGGTGGGATAGCTGTGACGAAGAGCGCGACCCGGCAGTGAGCTGGTTCACTGGAGTGGGTACTGCTGGTTCGTTGGAGTTTGGGGCTGTGATTAACGGTGGAACTTATGGGTTGGTTGGCTATGTCGGTGTGAACTACTGAATGAGCTGGGTTATGGGGTTGGTTTATTGGGTTGGACTGAATTGGGTCACCGTTGGTTTGGACAGTGGGTTAGCTGGGGACTTGGGTTTGTCAGTGGAGTGGGCTGGGTATAGTTGGGATTTGTTTGTTAGGAGTGGGCAGCAGTGGCATTTGTTGTTCGCTGGGTGGTTTCGTTGGCTGCTGTGGTATACGTTGGAGTTAACTGGTTGGTGGCTGAGCTAGGTGTGGCTGGGGTTGCAGGGCAGCGGCTGTAGCTGGTTGCTGTTGGCGGCACAGGTGATTGGCTGGGCTGTGGTAACAAGGTATAGGAGGCTAGGGTTAGGTAGGGGCTAGGGGCTAGGGAACACCAGCTCTATATCTTTGACACTTCTTCTTCTTGACATTACCCTGCTAATTCTGCTTAATGATCACAATGGTATTCAATTGATCAATATGATTCTGGCGATTCATATTTTGTCCAGGGATTAACATTAACAGTTTGTACTTAATGGACACCTGCAGATATATGTATGCAGTGGCAATCGATAACTTATGTAGGAAGACATCATTAATTGTCTTTTTCATGGAAGAAAGTATACGGTGAAAGGCATTTTATGCGAGAAGTCATAAAGCTTCCATCCATTCAATGTGTTTTCACATTCAATACACAAATAATACAAGTGGATGAACACATGTTCTTGTAAACAAACTTTAACCCATATGGACAGCCATTTTGTTATATATTCATGTGATAGAAAAAAAAGAGATAATACAAATTTCCAAACCTCGATAGCATCAGAAATTCCTGGAATTGTTGATATATCACCACCAACAACTTTTAGCTTAAAAGTCATATTTTTCTGCCACAGAAATAGAAGGGATATAATAATCAAAAACCAAAAATCTGTATGGCAAATCACAACTTCATACACAACTATCTCTTAATCATTTAGGATAAAAGTCTATATCTTTGAGCTATGCACCTGAAGTGAGAATGCATGCATCGTGAACAATAAATTATTTTTAAAATTTTCTGATGTTGTCTTTTAAAAAAATACATTGCAAACCATAAATAGGAGTCACCTTTTCTCGCAAAGAGTAACAAATAGCTCCAAAACAAGGAAACTCATCAACTAGTGGTTTGAAGATCAATCTGAAAACCCCCGTCAATCCAATATTTTTCACCTAGAAAGAATAAATAGATCAAAGTATTACTAAGTGACATCTAGTAGTAAACTTCCAATAACTAAATACACTTGGTCCGTAACCGGGGAATCATATTTTACAATGATATCCTTCAAAATAGAAAAAGAAAGTTTGCATTCCATGCAAAAATTAATTTTTAACGAACACATGCTTACATCTTTTTCATTGCAGCAAATTGCAGTTCATTAGTGAACCTGCTTAAACATATGCACTCTTATGCTCTCAAATAAATGTTGCTTCGTTATCAGCAAACTCCAATAAAGCTGGAAGATACTAGGTGGTAATTTTGTGGGATCAGAAACATTTTCCTCTTGAATTGATACAAAATAGTGACAAGACTCGGATAGCAGAAATTTCTGTTCCACATACTGGAGGAGCTTAACATATTGTTTCAATCAAGAAAAAGTTCGTCTATCTTGAGGCAAAAGCAATTGGTTCAACTACCGGAAACAGAAAGAAGGTACCCCGCTGGTTTGCAGATTAAGTTCTAATCACATCCCAATGTTGTCAGGATTCTTTTTGGGGATGGGGGTTCTACTTAGATTATGGGAGTGGGAAACAAAAAAGGTTATGGGAGTGGGGCGGCCGAGGGAGGGGGATTTTTTCTTCTAAGTGAAGATAATTCAGGGACACCACACATGAAGAAGTGGGGAGGTGCAAACTGCAGGTGCTAAAGAAAAAAGAAGGGGAAGTGGAATTCACAGATAAGAGAAAGAATGAATTAGTCATTTTGTGAATTAAAACCAATCTTAGACTGTCATGACTTTGAACCAGGCTGTCCCAATATGGTGTGCAATTCCCACAAAAGATAACTCGTCTGTGGTCCAACATTTGCAAGGTATTTTTCTGCGCAAGTAAACTAAGAAACTGAGATTCTGCAGAATGATCCGATGCATGTGCATCTTAATCAAGGGACGATTTCAGAAGAATATGTCTTAAATGGTCAATATTTCAAAAAAACTACTTGCCAGGGGAAAAAAATTGGACCAGAAGAAAAATGTGAATCCAACAAGTTCAGAGTGTTATGGTGTTGAATGTGCGATATATTTATCTATCTAGGAAGGCTCTCTCTTGGTCCTCTTTGGGTGCTCCCTCATCTGTCGGACCATAGTGTATAGATTGACTGTACTTGATTGTAAAATAGATATATCTTAGTGTGAAGATATATTGTAATGTTCATACATAGCTGTGAACCCTGACCTCCCAAACAGAGAGAGATAGAGAGAGAGAGAGATCTAAGGAGAAAATAATTGGTCGAATTTTTGACTTAGGTCCAGCGGTTCACTTACAAAGGTTTTGTAAATGAGCTTAAGCACCAATATATCCCACTTTTCATTCTGAATCTCACATGGTACTATGTATCATTTTAAATGTTCTGATTTAATTCTTTGGTTATTCCTGGCACTGCAGAGTACTCAACTCCCAAAGGTAAATGTGAAAAATTCCTATTCTAGTTCTAAGATTAACAAAAAAGAATTGAATTAAAAAACTCACAAAGGTAAATGTGAAAAATTCCTATTCCAGTTCTGAGATTAACAAAAAAGAATTGAATTAAAAGACAATCACAACGGAGATAAGGAAAAAGTTGAATAACACCTCTATAGGTAGTCCCACACCGACTCTCGTTTTAACATCAAGTTCAATACTGGGGTTTCCATCCCACTGCAACTCCAACTCCATAGTAATTTCTCCAGCATCACCATCAAGAACAGATACTCCTGGAAATGGAAGCAACAACGTCTATGAGCATCAACCGATTGCAGACAAAGAAACAAGATGAATGGACTTTCCTGAGAATTCATGCCAGTACTTTAACATATCAAGAGAATTTTTTTTTCCATATGCAATTAGCTTAACAAGTAGAAACTTGTAAACGCTGAAGTCTCTCACACATACAAGTTAGCTCATGTGATGTTGTTTCAGTACCCTATCAAAGTCACAGGTTCAAAACCATAAACATCAAAAATTCTTTTTCTTTGTTTTTTTGGGGTCCTTTTTGTTACCCAGAAACTTAACAATTAGTTTGATTATCCATGGATAGCTAAAGATCCATACTCGGTAAAAAAAATTTCAATACTTATCGTTTCTGTTGCTGATGTTCATTCTTGAAGCTCAGTTTGCTCTTTGGGAGTTTTAGTTTAAATAATCCAAAAACTATGAAAGAGATTTTGAGGTAAAAATGCTAACTTCTTAACACAAGACCATAGCACACAAAGTACATTTTCTCATTTGAATTCCTCAAACAGATGCAATAATAACATGAGCAGATTCATCCTCAGAATATTGGTATTCGCGAACATTTTAGACTAAGGTCATATTCTAGACATTGCTAATCGAACCACTCTGGATTGGATGGATTTCACTTCCTTAACTAGAGAAGACAACCAATGGCCAGCAACAATATTTCTGGATGACATATAAGCTGCTAATAGAGTTTAGAGGAACAAAAAGTTCAATGTGAATGATTCACTTCAGAATTCATAGTATGTATCAAGAACTACTAATTGGTGTAAGGAAAAGCTCTCCTCCTGAAACGATGACACAGACAAGTTGGGTATTCCTGTCTAACCGGTAATAATTCTGAAGAAACAGAGGTCTCATTCAATTTAAGGTAAGAGCCATCAATAAGGACTTCCGTGTAGTCACACTCAAGACCTAAAAACAGTCTAAGCAAAGTAGATTGAGCAACAGTAAGACATATGCATAATAGATTCTTATCTTTGCAACATTTTGATTGAAGTTAAATCCAGTACAACTGGTAATAGAATTTGAAAATCAAACTTGACTTGGTGGAATTACTTCACTGTCATATAGAAACAATAAACCATATGTCATGGTCAAATTTACGAAGTTGGGAAGGAAATAATTGAAGTAATATCACTGGTAAGTCATGGATGTTATTTATTTTAGTTAATATGGAAAGTTTAATTAATCTCAATTCTGGTGAATCATAAATATAACCTCTTGAGAAGATTCAACAAATGGTATGAGGGTTATGGCATAATGAAGGCATTGCCCTCATCCACATGAGAAATAAAGAATCCCACTTTCTTTGTTGAAAACAGTAGTAGTAGGGACATGATGAATGAGCTAAAGCCTGATATATGGCCTTGGTTTGCTGAAAACAAATTAAACTGAATTGCAATTGAATTAGACAAGATTAGGATTCATGAGATTTAATCTTGACAATCACATGGCATCGTATCATGCAGCTATATCTGCAATATTTGAGTGCAAGGCTTCTAGACTTTGCCACCACCAATCGAATCGGCTATCTTTGTTGCAACAGATTTAGATAAAGCTGGACTGAACAGGTTCCGATTGGTACTAGTGCAAGATAATAAATAACAAAAAATCACATAAATTAGTCAGTGGTGGAGGATTCTTCTAAACCATTAACGAAATAAAACGAAATTAAAGGAAAAATATTTCAATGGGACAGCAAGTCTATCATAGTAACAAAATGCTTATTTAAGACAAAAGCAGACTAACAATTTCAGGAAGCATCAAGAGTATAATGAAATTTCTGCAAGTGTTGAGATATTACATATATTAGTCCTATATGCGTAATCAAATTGCTGTAACCTGCAATAATGGCTTTGATCAAATAAGTTTCTCTTGATTATATATGTCTATAAAATTTTCTTGAATAATGCTGAGAATTCAACTAACAATTGCCCTGTTACTCAAATTCCCAAAACTTCTTAGCTAACCCAAATTTTGTTCTCGAAAAAATGCAAGATAACCATCATACCAGGCATCTAACTTCCAAAACAATTGATGAGCATGCGAATAAAAATCTGAGGCTTTCTGGAAATTGTAAAAAACACTATAATGGCCAGTTGGGATTCCATGGTCACATCAGCTAACTCAATAGAGAAGGGGGAGTAATCTTTTTCTTAGGGAAGCTTTTAGTCTCTAACAAGAATAGGACAGTTCAGGTATTATGCATATGAAGAGCTATGCCTTCCCATTCTGTTTTCTCTCACCTTGGGTCAAGTTTTCTATTTTTCAGAATCTTAAACATGTATTAACTTGCCAGTTTCCAAGCCAATAGACTATTTTCTACTTGAAGCATAAGTGAAATTAGCAGTTAAACCTACCTGTAAATTGTGGAGCAACAGTCCCAAGTGTCAATTTTGAAAATTTGATGGAAGATAAGATTACTGGTCTATATTGCTCAAGAATTGGCTCAACTGAGCTTCTTATTAGCTCCGATGCTGCCTACGCCACCCCATTACATAAAAAAAACCCATTCTCAATGCCAACTAATTAAATTCAGCAAATAAATAAACATTTTGCTGGATTGAAAACAGAGAATTACCTCATTTACATATGGCCAGATTTTGTCAAGGTGTTGATTAAGCCAATTTAGCTGCAATTAACGAAAAACTTCTTTTGAGATACTAAGCCAAATTTTAATGATTAAGAGAGAGAGAGAGTGTAACTCAACTTCTGCCTCTGTGAAAACACAACCCAAGAAGGGTAGAACTCAGATGGAAGAATTTTCCTTGAATCTTGAACCGTCATCCGGGCGAAAGTCGCGATCGTTGTAGCCTAAATGCATAATGGGTATGTATTGAAATCATTCAAAAGGAAAGAACAATAAGCAAACAGGAAAGATAAATACTTAATCAAAGCAGAACAAATCTAGATATAGACACACATAAAAATACGGACTTAGAAGTGTATTGAATGTATATATTTGCATGCATGTATATCTATCAACAAACTGAATGTGAACAAAAATGAACAAAATGGGTTGGAAAGATATGAATCACATACCAAATCAGAGCGACGCTTAGATCTGATGTTCCCATAACGAGCAAAGCCAACTATCAATCCGATGCCCAATGCCATACCAAAAAAGAGACCCATGAAGAAAGACATATTTTTTAACAAAATGAGGAAACAAAACAACCAAGAGTTATATCTCAGCTTCAGAGTTTATCAGCAATGGAGACACTGAAAGCTGTTGAACAAAGGTGGTTGGGTGTGTAATTTTGTTGAAACATAGGAAGAGGGGAGTAACAGAATTTTGATTGGGAAGTTAAGATGGGAATGTATGTAGGGACATCTGTGTATGTATGTGTGTGAGAGAGAGAGGGAGAATCAGAAGGTCGTGGGTTGGTGTATAATTAAATCTATGACTTGTTTAATTGCGGTGTCTTGGCATTGAGTACTGAGTATGATCCGAAAAGAAAGTATCTATTCTTTTCTTCTGTTGTTCTACTTTCTTTCCCTTTTACCTATTGTGCCCATATGATTTTTAATATTTGTAATGACATCCAATTTTTTAATGTGAATTTTGGAGTTTTATGACCTGTCTAATAATTTTTTTACTTCTTATTTGGACGGATTATGTAGGTTGAAGACTTCCCTCAATTTAACGCAAATTATAAAAGGTTAATAGTATTTTTAATTCTTAAAGTATACACATTTTTTTAGTTTGGTTCATAAAGTATCAATTTAGTCTCTAAAATATTCAATTCATATTTAAATGGTCTCTATATAGACGAACCGTTAAGTTTTTGACTGAATAATCAGGTATTGGTTACGTAATACTGTTTGAAAGAATGACACATAGTCACTTTGTAATACCTTGTTCCAATTTAGCAAGGAACTAGTTAGAAATATTATCTTGTAAGGAATAAGAAAAATTTTAAAAAAGAATTTAGAATAATCTAGAATAATGTAGAATACTTTCTTAAACAATCTAGAGAAGTCTAGAATATTTTAAAAGGTTCTAGGAAAGACTAGAAGATTCTAGAGGGATTTAAAATGTTCCAAAAAATTTCAGAAGGATTTAGAAGGTTGGAGAAGACTTTAGAATATTATAAATGAATCTAGATACTTGTGAAATTATCATGTGCAAAATAAGTTGAAAACGTAGAAGGATATAGGAGAGGGGAGATGGTAGAATATTCTAAGGAATCTACCCTAAAAATGTCACATGTCAATATAATGCATTTGAGAATTGGATTAAGGATACTAGGGCACAAGTAGTCTTCCACTTTCAAGAAAGAATAGAGAGTAAAAGAGATTAGAAGCAAGGAATAACACTTCATCAAAGGAAATTATGAGAGAAAAAAAAGGCATCAATAACATCTCACTTTACTTCGGGTAACAAGTAACACTCAAGGAGCATATCATTCTCTTTGGACTTGAGGTGAGTGGATTGACATGCTACGTATTTTTCCTGTATCCTTAAAACATTTTAAAAATGATACATAATGATTGTTTATTACTACCTTTACAAAATATTTTACAAAGTGTTTAAATACTTGTGGCATACAATTCTCCTTACCTTGATGAATACTTGTGACTTAATCACTTGTTTATATGGTGAGACTTTGTGATAGTGAATGAGACCATGATTGAAAGTTCAAGAAAATTATTCTTCTGTGTGCGGGTGACTCTGGCCACTAGGGAACAGACTCGCGAGAGGCTGAGGTGACCCTAGTGCTCAACAGTTGAAGGAACAGTGCCTGGTGCGTCCTGATGACCTTCACCGGATCGTCTTAGGGAACAGACCCGGGAGAGGCTGTGGTGACCCTAAGTATGATGTTGGATCCAACCTTGAGATATATTCTGACATTTGGTTAAAAGTTTAGGAAAATTATTCCTCTGTATGCGGGTGACCCTGACCACTAGGGAACAGACCCCGGGGAGGCTGACATGACCCTAGTGCTCAACGGTTGAAGAAACAGTTCCTGATGCATCTTGGTGACCTTCACCGGATCGTCTTAGGGAACAGGTCCTGGGCGACAACCTGCACTGACCCTAAGTACGGTGTTAGATCTAACCTTGAGATCTTCTGGCATTTGGTATGGTTCCTAGATATCGTACAAGTTCTTATCAGTATGGCATGATTATATAATTTGTTATTGTCACAACGTTTTTTTTACTGGCTTTGTTTATGATTATCTATCATATGTCATACGTATTTTCTTGTACTTGATATTTGATTCCCATCAATTATTGGATATCATACAGTCTCTACCATTATGATAAGATTCACCATTGTGGTATGATTTCTTGTTGGAATCCGATTGTGTTATTTTTGAGAAATTAGTTATCTTGATGAAGTTATTTTTCCAAACCTTTGATTTAAATGTCGTATGCCAAATATATTTTTCAACCGCTTTGAATATGCATTGCCTTTTCATTCACTATTAAAATAATATTTTTTAGGCAAATGATTGAAGTGTCAATAATAGACTCAGGGAATTGATTGGAGACTAATAGTGTTGTGACCTCCATAACATATATCGTATAGTCCTCTTTACTTGTTTGGATAATTGGGGCAAACAGGTTTAGGTATGTTGACTTTGACATATTGACATGAGATCAATTTAGTGCTAATGTTATTTTTCACTCGTATATTATTAGTTTATTGTTAGGCTTACGTGTTCCATAGGTTATGGATTTATAGTTCACGGCTGCTCTTGCCCTTAGAGTTGGGGTGTGACACACTTTTTTCAAAAAAAAAACTTAATGAATTATTTGATTAAGGACTAAAGTGATATCAATTCAAATTTTAGGGACTAAATTGATACTTTAAGAACCAAATTTATAAAATGTACATATTTTAGAGGGCAAAAATACTATAAGCCCAGTTATAGAACTCTTCGACTCTAGTTCAATTTAAACACCCGACTTTGACCAAACTATTTAACTCAAGTACAATCTATACTTTCATTTTTTAATTCTGGTTGCATGACTTGGTTGAAATTCTAATTCAATTTTCTAGTTGTAATTCTGATTTGAAAAATTTTAAATAGATTTAAAAAATGACTTAAAAATTTAACTCGATGAATTATTACTATTGAATAAGTAGTGAGTTTCAATAAATACTGTAACTCACAGCTAAATTAATGATAAATATAACAGTCACATCATCAAATCAGATTTTTAAATTAATTTTTTAAATCTGTGTAGCATATTATTTTTCGAATTTTTGTGACCTAACCTGAATTCCATCCTAATTTTGGCCTCTATTTTATGACCCTACCCTGAGTATTGACCAAAGTTTAATTCAGCTTCACATTTTTTGTCTAACTCCATGCAAATATTAAAATTCGATGTCCAAATATTGAATGCTTTGGACTAATTTAGGTTAGTCGGCCCCAATTTCAACGTTACCATAGCCAAAGAGCAATTAATTTAGTAAACTTAAAAAAAGAAAAGAAAAGAACATTCTAGTTGATGCATGTACATTGGTAACAAGTGTTTATGGGAAATGTTGGAAAGTGGGAAGTTTTAAACGGTTTGCAATGTCTGATCATTATGCATTATTTTGAAAATTAATTTAACCATTTGTTCTCTATTCATTTGAGTAATAATATCATTTAGTCCCTTCGATAATCAAAATTGTTGGGTTTTGTATACTAGCACCAACTATAAGGTGGTATATCTCAGTGCAATTAAACCTTCGTCTTGGACTATTGGCGTGAGTCTTCTTATACTATATTAGCAATGCACCACGTGTGTTATACGTGAATAATTTTCGTATATAAAATTTAATAAAAAAATTTAGGTATATGCGTACCTAAATTAAATACCATCTCAAGTTTATAAAAATTATGTTTTTGTTGCTCGCATTATACTATAAAATTTGTAAATTTTCGTCTATTCCCAACGATTCATTATTCTAACTATAAAAATAATAATAATAATAATTTATTTTAAAATTCATTTGATTATGTTTCACCTTATAATGTGGTATTTAAAATTCTTCATAATGGTAAAATAATAAATCAAAAGTTTTTTAAGCTAAGATAATTTTATTAGTAGTATAGATAGATAGAAATAGATATAGATATGTAAATTTATATTATTATTTTTGTATACAAGTGCATTGCACGTGGATTATTTTTAAAATCAAATATATTATTGCTATAAAAATTATAAAATAACACAAACTATACAAATAAACTCTGCTTAAAAATTTTGTGTAGTATATAGTGAAACTTAAGCCATGGACAAATTTAGCCACATATTAATAAATAAAATTAGAGTTTTAATAGTCTAATCTAAATTTAATGTCCATCGTTTCTAAAAAGATTACAAACAAATGGATGCTTATATTATAATAAGCTTGGGACGGTCTACCTCAAAATTTACTATTATATTTTTGATGACAAAAACAAATAATGGGTGAACACTAATTGTTTCATTATTTACTGAAAAACAAATATTAAAATCACACTTAAAAAGAAATGTCATATATGCTTCATGAACATCCTAGAAAAAAAATTACCCAAAAAAATTTATAATGAACGTACTAAAATTTGTTTTGCCACATTCAAATGGTAAAATGTATATTGTCAAAAATTAGTATTTGGTAACTATGTCTTAGAGAAATTCAAAAAACTTAGTCGAATCATGATCCACATTATGAAAAATCTCTTTTCAATTATTCAATGCACGAGAAGAATCACATAATTTTTTCTACACTCAAGATATAATGCTAAATACTCAAAATAAGTTTCAGTGCTAAACAAAAAATAAACCGGTTACCATGGAAATTAAACACATAAAAGGTATATGATTTAGAATAAATAAAATCTCAAGATGTCATTTTCACAATGACCTTCAACAATTGATCATGCTTATTCATAAATAAAAAACACTTATCAAATCAAGATTTTTATTTTTTTAAGATGTTAGTGTAAGCCTAACTCCAAGCAAAACATAAATCATATGAAAAAAACAATAATCTGCAACCATATAAAAAGTGTGAGTATGAGAGAATGAGAGAGGAATAGAATAGTATTACTATTACTTTATGATTAAAATTCATGGGATTGAATATTTGACAATTAGCTAGTTGTCCACGTAGCCATAAAATGGAAGATGAAATGATTCAAATTCCA